TCAATGGACTGCCTAATGCAATTTTTCAGCTGGATAACGCCCGACCACACAGTGCTTGCATCTGCCAACATGCTCTGCAAAGTATACAGATGCTTCCCTGGCCACCGTACTCTCCTGACCCGTCACCAAACATGTGGGATGTGATTGGACGCCGTTTAAAGACTCTGTCCTTACCTCGTTCAGAAGCCAAACTGTGGCAAATGGTTGAAAGGGAATGGAAAGCCATCCCTCAGGACACCATCTGCACTCTTATTGACTCTATGCCTAGACGTGTTTCTTTGTGCATCGCTGTCCGTGGGTGTCCTATACCCTATTGAGCCGATGCTGTTCTCACTCCGTATTCTGACTATCAATTTGAAATAAAAATCACTTATTGCTGCTTGCTGTCTCTGTCGTTTTTCCAAATTTCATCACTTTCTGACCACTCCTTCTTGGTGTTGCATTTTCAATGTCAGGCAGTGTATTAACTCCTCCATAAACATATGCTCAAATTTTTTATCGACTTCAGAATAAAATTCACTATCAGAAATATAGCTATTTCACTCTGAGAAAACGGATTGATCTTTTTTTATGTAGAATACGTGTCTGAAGTTTTCTTTTTAGTTTTGAATGTTTTTTAAATTTTTCGATGGGAAAGCATTCACAAAATCCATTTCTTTTGCAATAGCAGCTAACATTCCTATAAAAGAATTGTTCTTTGGCATTAGTAATTATTTGATGCACGTTTAATGTTCCAGAAAGAGCTGGTATTTCAGATGGTAAATTGGATGATGGATGGGACTGAATGGATGCCATTTTCATTGATGAAGGAAATCTTGACCACTGTTTTGCCTTATGGGCATCAAAAGTGTCTTCTACATAAGATATCAAACTATTGGACATTCTTTTAATTGCTGCTCCTATGCCATAAGCAGCTCCTTTACCATGGCCAGCTTCAAAATATGACCAAGTTCTTTCTTGAAAGCCATGATCAAATAGCAAGTGTGTAAAAGATAAAAATTCCCTTTTTTTGATGATACTGTGTGCAAGAACCATCATAAAAAAATGAATGACTGAAACATTAGGTGCTCTGACTTGTAGCTATTCCAGCACTATCTTCAAGTGGGCCCATATTGCAGCTGGATGCACCATAGAGAAAATTCTGTACTTCCCTGAATTTGCAGGCATAATTTTCTGAGAAATCAACATATAGAAGAGCTTCATTTTATTTTTTCACATTCTTTAGGCTGAGAACTGCTGATTAATGTTAAAGACGTGTTTTTTGAAGCATATTAAATCAGCTTTAAACTTTTCAATTAACAACCCAACTAATCCTTCATTTTTTTTATATATATTTTTTTAACACATGCTTCTTTTTTTTTTGCCTCTAACAATTTCCGCCTCATCTCTTCCCTCCATGAATGCTAATTAATACCAGTTTTTTAGGTACATTTACTGCCACTCTTTTATCATCGCATTGTGTGCAGTTTTTATACATGCAAGCCATAGATTTTACATTGCACAATATAGATGAATATGACTACTGAAGATGATTTGTCTGTAATGCCTGTTAACTAATTCGCTTTTGTGCTTTTAACTTAAAATAAGAATGTACAATACATGCACATGTATTCCTATTCTCAGCACTAGGTGTAAGGGCATGGAAAGGATGAAATCTATTAAATGTTGGATATTAAAATATTGAAATTTTCACTACACAATTTTTTGTATAAATTTTTCATTGTATTAATTAGCCCACCAGCGGCCGAGCGGTAAAGACACTTAACACTGGTTGTTCAGTCCGAGGTTCGAATCCCGCGAACGGGCTGGGTGCATGAGTGTTTTCGTGGTTTTCCCCATTCGTAACGTGTATACGAGCCAGTTTCCCTTAGAAAGTCCTCCACGAAGGCATCCCTCTCTTTAGGCAGATAGCCCTTGTGCGCTTTGCCATAATTGAATAATCCATCCAATCCAATCCATTGTATTAATTAAATAATGTTTGTGTCACTTCTTTGTTATTGTTTCTCTTTTGCTTGCTGTGGCCCTGCTAATATCTTCACATTCAAATAAATTAGAAATAAGTTTTTCCTTCAAAGCCAAGTTCTTGTGTCCTCTTCCCCCCACACAAAATTTAATGTTTACATTTGAAGAGTTAGATACCTTCTGTTTATTTTAAATTGTAGTTGTTTCTAAAACTGATGACTAAACATTCCGCAAACAATATTCAGCTTGCTTTTCATGCCAATACTTCCTTTGATACCTCCAACCTCTCACTGATAAGTCACTGATTTTTTTGCAAGTAATTTTTTCCTAAAGAATAGAAAGAACTTTTCTAATAATTTGTATACAAAGTAAATATGAATTCATCAATATTATTAAGTTATTTTGTCTATTACTTTTTCATAAGTTATTACAAATATCATTGACTAAATACCATAATTAACAATAATTTACCTTTCATTATCATTGTTTTTTGGCTTCTTTATATTTTTCTGGATTTTGTGTCAACCTTTCTGTATTGCACTTTTGCTTTTCTGCAGTTGTTAAACCCATCCTAGATGCTAAAACAACACTTATTAACCACAGTGAGAAAACAATGTCAAGTCCAAATCTGTTACCAGTAACATGGTAAGACTTGACAAGTAACGGCTTTGACATTCAAATCAAATTATTAAAAAGAAGCTCACTTGCATAATGTGTAATTTAAATGATAATACAAATATCTTCTAAAAGTATCTAATATACATTTTTAAATATAAAAATGAAAAAAGTACTTTTTAATATTAAAAATTATGACAACAAATTTGAGAAAGAAAAAAAAAACTTGAAGAAAGCTGATTCTTGCCACTGCTATAATGCTTCTCAACTGAAGGGGGAAAAACGGTTAGTAATAGCTGTTTGATTATTTTATCTGCATTACTGAATATGCACTGCCACCTTTAGGCACATTTGTAAACTAATTGTGTATAAAAAATCTAAAGGTAACAGACTTGACGTGAAGTGGAAGACAAATTATTTTTATTGATTTGCTAAAGAAAAAAGCTTCTGCAATTAATTTTTATCACGAATATAACACACTAATAATTCATATTTAAAATAATTAAACTGCTTTATTTAAAAAATAAATTAGGTTACAAAACAAAGAGGTTGAATAACATAAAACTTGAAAGGGACAGACATTTTCCTCTACGGTCACATATTTTAAGATTTATATTAAAAAAATTTCAATTGATTATTTTATATTTTAAATTGTAGAAATATATTTATAGTCATCTTTATAAAATGCTTTGCTCATATTAAACTTTAAATATTAACTTATCTTGAATTTTCTTCTTCTAGCACAGTATAAGCTAAATTTGAAAATGGGCCATGCATTAATTTGCATAATGGAAAAGTATCGTATGTGTATATACCATATCATCTGTTAACTATTCTTATAAATAGAAATTACAGTTAAAAAAACTGCCAAAATATGTGGCAGATTCATAACGGAAAACTACCAAACTGTCTAACATTCTATTATCAAAATACATAACGGATATAAAGCAAATAAAATGTTTTTCATTCCCAGATGCCACTTGTAAAGAAATGGTATTTCACAAGTGGTCATGCGTATAAAAATATTGTATATTAATAGGTAGTTTATCAAAGCCTTTGGCCCAGAAACTTGGTGGCCATGAGTCCAAATACAAATCAACTTTATGTCAGACATCCTGTGCAGAATGGAAGATAGCACCAGCAAGATGTAGTTGCAGGTGTGGAAAAAGGGTAGAAGTCTGAAGAAGCAATGTTGTGCTTATATGGTGGGTGTTTCAAAAGATCTCATTCTAATCAGAGTCCAGCCAGTGAATGCACTCATGCAGTCTTGTATTATCTTGATGGAACATTACCTTTTTGTGTCAGAATTCAATTCGATGTTTGATTCTTGATAGCAGCATCAACACAGAGTAGCATCTCGCTGTACACCTTACTATCGAGGGTTTTACCTTTTTCCAGGTACTCTTTATGGATAATACCACAGCAATCCCACCAGATACAAAGCATGATCTTTTTGTTACGCAAATTGCTCTCTGTGATGCTGCCGACGGGCTCACCAGGTGCAGACCAACCTCCTTCTTGACCTGCATTGTTGAAGTAATTCCATTTTTCCTCACAAGTGACGATCCGGTCCAGAATTTTGTCCTTGCATTGATATTCGAACAGATAATGCAGGCCCGAACATGTCTGTCCTTATCTGCTTGAATCAGCTAATGCAGCACCCAGCAATTAACTTGTGCATCAAGTTTATGTGATGCATAGCTCGACTAATGGACATGGCACTAACGTCTAACTCCTTATCAAGCTCTTGAGTGGTCTTATATTGATTTTCTTTCACAAGTTCTCGCAGGCGGGCCTCACCAGCATTAGTAGTCCGGCCAGAGAGCTGTGCTTCTTGAATATTGTAGGCCTTGTTTTTGAACTTTTGGTACCAAATGTTCACAATGTCAAATACAGCATTAGTAACTAAAGCTGTACACACGATTTGGTGATGTTCTATAGCTGACTTTTTGCAACATAACTAGAAGTAAATGATGTTTCTAATCTGGTAGTGTGATAGTTCTATTTCAGACACCTTGTACTTAATGATAACAATATTTTTTATGAATTTAAAAAAAAAAAAAAAAAAAAAAAAAAAAAAAAAAAAAAAAACAATGTTCTAAAGCAAGTCTCTTCCTTTCAAATGCCAAAAATCTTTTGACAAAATATATTAAACATGCCAACGTGAACTTTTTTTGCAGACAGTATTTGCGGTGGCAGGAAACTTGTTAAAATCTGAGGTAAAACCCTATATTTATACTTTTCCATTAAGCACATATATGCCAAAATACGTGGCAGGTGCATAATGGGAAAGTACCAATTTATCATGTGGAAGTGGGCTGTTTCTGGAATGGGGATGTTAACATTAATATGCATTTGATCTTAGTAGTTTTTGGGTATGGTTATTTTTAAAATTTAGAAATTAATCACTTTTTCTATTATAGGCATGCATTGGAGTTATAGATGAAGAAACTGTGAGAGCTGTTGTTCCACCAAATTCAGTGAAGTATCGCACTCGTAACCAAGACATAATTGAAGATTTTAAATATACTGCTGCTTTTGGTCCTGAAATTGGGCAGTTTGTATTCTTTGAAGAAACGATGTGCAATCCAATGCAAGATTTTATTGAAGGGAAAAACAGCCTTATTTTTAGCTATGGTATAACAGGTTCAGGAAAGACCTATACATTTCAAGGTGAGAGATTAAGTGTAGAAAATGAGGTTTACAGAATTTTCTAAATCGTGTTTAAACTGTAGAGTTGTACGAGCTTATTTTATTTTTCTTCTAGTACAGCAGTCCTGAACCTTTTTTACTTGTGTGCTCCTTGGCTTATCATCTGTGCTTATTCCATTATGTATAATTAGTTACTAACATTTACATATACAGATATGGTAATAGTACTATAATATAGAAACATATGAAATATGGTATATGTTGGTAATTACACACATTTAATTAAATTAAAAAAAAACATGAACACATTTAATCAGAACCTTGAGGCTGTTTGACAGCACTCGGTAGTTTAAAAAAAGGGGGATCAGGAGATGACAAATATACTATTAAGTCTGAACTTATGCTGGAAAATCTGTTCCTGTATTTATTTTTTAAGTAAGTGCATGAGAAGAAAGCCTTCTTTATTCATACGTTTGTGAACAGTAGCAGAATAGTAATTGCCTTATTGAATATTTCATGGTATTCTTTCAAGTCGGTTCAGAATGAGATAAGGAATTTCTCTTCAAACTAACTCAAGTGATTACAGCTTTTTATCTTTTCTGTGTTGTTCAATGTATTAATGTAGACCTTTAACATATTTTTTTCGCATAGCCCGAGACCCTAGTCGTATGCCACTAGGGGCATATATATGACAGGATGAGAAATGCTGTACTAGTAAAATAAAAAATTTTTATATTCTTATTCCCCCCTTTCCAACAGGCTACTATTCCAGAGTTCAGTTCCTTAAAATCATTTGTTTATTTATTAACAGTATTTTTAGTTAATTTCAATATCAATGTTTTATTACAGTATTAAAAAATTATTACATTTCAAATAGAAAAAAATTATATGTTTACTTTTATCTGTAATTTGTATACAACATTCAGTCTTTAAATCAGAATTTCATTTTAGGAATTTATAAAAGCTTATTTATTAAGTGTGTTTAGAAAAATATGTAAAAAGAGAGGAGAAGTAGCTTCTTACAAATGTGCCATACAGGAGCTGGGATTAAACAGTTGTTCCAATGATAATGTGCAACAAATATTAAAATATGCAAAAATTAAGGATAAGTTTTTCACATGTCATGTTGCGCAGCAATGTTTTTAATTTGTATGTAGCTTACAATAACATTTGTGATGTTTGAGACTGAAGAGAAATTACAATTGTTGACCAAGAAAGGACCAAAAGAGGAAAATGCATTATACAAATGCAATTTTTTAGCACAGCAGGACAGAAGAATTCATGTGACAGGTGGTAAGCAAGAGATGTGTAGTTTTTGTCAGGACATAGATCACTTTTGATTGTGTACCATTTGTTTGTTTTTAGTATGAAATTGTTGATAAACTGTTCAGGCATTATGGCCTGTTCCTATTCTAATACCAATAAAAACTGGAATTGTTGGTAGCTGGAGACATGTTGCCAGATGTCTCTTTAGAATTGGATTTAGGTCCAGAAATCATTCAGGTCAGTCCGTGAAGTGATTTTCATTCTTCAACAGCACAGCAACAGCCACTGTGTAATGAGATGTATTGTTAATGTCAATGAAAAACAAGTCCAGAGCATCTCAGAAGAAATGTGCAAGAGGAAAATCCTGGGTACAACAGAAGTCTGAAGTGACTGAACACTCTTAAAAGATGTCGAACTTTGTATGGTTACCAACCATTAAGGCTTCCCAAATGAGAACTGACATTTCCAAACTGTTGCTTTTCAATGATGTGGGAGTGGTGGAGTGTGTTCCTGTTCTCTCCTGATGCTCTGATGTTGCTGTACCCCTTCATTAGTTTCAGATGAACAGCTGTTTCAAACAATTTTTCTAACTATGGATTTTCCCCTTCCATTTGCAAAAAAATATTAAGTTGCTGGTTTTCAACAAACTATCAGCACTGAATCTCTCATCATTTTTAATAGAGAACTAGTTTCTGCTTTACATGATAACCTCTCAAAGTAAATCGGGCTGATTTATATACTGGGACAAAGCAAGAAAATAGCAATAAACAAATTGTCCTTCCGGAATGTTTTGAATGTGGGAGCCTAATCTTTAGCAGAGACCAAATCTGTTCTTATTCATAAAGAACAGTTGACTCCTATTCTGAACTCCTTAATCACTGTGTTATGCCACTACATGTGAAACACTATTTTTGTTAGGTGGGCATCAATGAGGCAAAATATTGATCACTGAGAGAACAAACCACTCATGCGTAATCTCCTGGCCACTGTAAGATATGATATTGGTTATCCAGTATTATGTTGCATTTGTCTTGCAATATCTTCTATTTTTGGTTCCCTGCTGTTCACTTATAGAATAAAATAATTGATCCTTCTTTGCAATGGTTGCTTGTGGGTGATGAATGATATTAAACATTCGAATAGCTGTTTTTGTTGTTTTAAATGCCACCTAAGCTTATGACATGCTGTAAGCCATCTTGCACTTCTGAGCTACCCTAGCCATCTTTTGGTCTTGTAGCTTTCCACTATTTCAGGTTTCAGTGAAGTCATACAGATGTATCTATGGGACTGTTTGTTAGTCATATAACAATGGTTCAACTCAACGTGGTTCCAACCAATGTAAATTGTGCGATAAGTTTTGTTGAAATACTGTGCACCTAAATGATCATTGATTTTTTTTTCAAAGCATATAGTAATTTTACAGTAAATAAACCCTTGATTACATTTACAAGAAAAGAACTTGGTCAAATTAGAACTGCTGGTATTGTATTTGTATGCCATTACAGTTTGTTATATCCAGTTGTTTGCATTTTGAGCTTTTGTATAATTTTATGTAATTGTGACTTCAGGGGAAACCCTAGTTCGTGAATGTAATTAATTCTATTGTTTGTAAAACTAAGATTTCTCCCTACCACCACCATAGGAATTAGTGTAAAATGGATTACTCCATTTCTTGACCACAAATGATTGCTAATTTAAACTTTTACAGCAGTTTTGTGCAGTTATAAATCAAAACTAATGGAAATCATTAAATGCAGGTTGAAAAGAGAAAAATACAGTACTAAACAGACAAAAAATTAAATTATGATAGATGTATGAAGAAGAGTTGGCAGCATAGGTAGAAGGTGGTGAGGAATAGAGAGGAAAAAGAAATTATTTGAATGGGTGTCTCCTATAAAAACATCAGGCAACTGTCATTCTGCACTTCATTTTTGTTTCTTTGTCCATTCTGCTTGAGACTTGCTGGGTTTCTGTCACTAAAAGTCCATCTAATATGATTTGTTTTTGTCTACATTTAAAATGTTTTCAAAATGAGAATTAGCTTGCAGAGTATTGCTAATGCTTAATCAAGGTAATATAGTTCAATGAAACTTTGTACCATATCCCATTTTGCACAAATTTTGCAGGCCAAAGAATTAGAATCATATTTGTTTCCTTTCTCTTCCTCTGAAGACATTCCTTCATAATAACCTTGGATTGCTGTTTCTGAAATTCTTCCAGTTCTTCTGAAGTTATTTTTGTGATTCTCTAATAAATCCTCTGTATTTTCTTTGTTAACTTGCCCATGATTTTCTTTATGCACACAGTATTATTGATAAAATGATTCTCATTGTCAGAATCTTTAAAGTCTCTGCCTGTATCATTCTCTGGCTAGATTGAATTTCCTCCAGATTAAATTCATAGCTCTGTTAGTCACTTGCTGCTAGGCTTGTCAGTTAGAATCAAACAATGGAGAATATTGAAATGAGGTTTGCAGAAGTCTGAGTGTTAATTTTATGTTGGAAGTCGCTTCGGAATACCTTTGAAAATGGCTTCTGGCGTTTTAAAGAACTTAGTGTTGAAATGTAGTGCTGATATTTCTTTTCTTACAGTTAATAATGCAAATTTGAAAGTAGCTTAAGAAAACATTTAAAAATTGAAGTTCTTCCCCCTTGCTCTCTGCTTTTAATAATATTTCCTTATTATTGACCTTTGCTTTGTAAATAGCACCAAGAACTGCCTTGTTAATGTACTAAATTGCCAAAATTACAACCCTATTTGGAGCATTTCCTCATGACGGGCAGAATATAAATTACCTTGATTAGGACTGCAAGCCTTTCAAAAAACCATTTGACTAGATTTACTACATAGTCTAAAAACAAGAGGGTTCTTGGTGCCATTAAGTAAAAGTTGCTATAATAGTAAGGAAACATGTTTTTAACTCCTGAGTTAATTAATTTAATAAGCAAAAATATCAGTTTCATGGTATATGTGTTATGGAATTTTTTTATTTAATTTCTGTTATATGTTTTTAGCAATTTTTAAGAGTTTTATCTTGTGTTTTGTAATTTTATTTGACACGTATATTTTTCTAAAATATACAGAGTTGGTCAACAAGTAATGGATAGCCTACTGTAGCTTGGTAAGTTTTAGAGAACTGAAATTTTGTAGGTGCAGGCATACTTTGAAAATACCATTCATATAGGATTAAATTTTTAAATGTCACACTATGATGTGAAGGTAACCTAAACTTTTTTTGCCCTGAAAAATTGATTCAAACTCAAATACACTGACTACCAATAAGTATTTGGACACCTGTGATAGAAAAGGAAAACTAATTTTATTCAAAATCAATTGTTGGTAGAGCCTCCACGAGAGGTAATTACAGCGTGGACCCTCCGGGGCATACTTTCCACAAGTCTTTGTGTGACAGCTAGTGGTATTTTCTTCCACTCGGCTTGAAGAAGACATAGAAGTTCCATCACCGATTTTGCACGGGTAGTGCACCCCTGAATTCGGCGATGCAACTTGTCCCAGAGGTTCTCGATAGGGTTCAGGTCTGGACTCTGGACAGGCCAATTCATTCGATGAACTCCATTGGCACCATACCAAGCCTTGATTAACGTCGAAACATGGCAACTGGCATTGTCGTCCTGAAAGTAACAGGGGTCCAACCTGTAAAACTGCCACAATGTAGGAAGCACATTGTCATCCAAAATAGTGCAGTAGGCATCGGAGTTGAGCTTACCATGAATGGGGACCAAGGGTCCCAGCCC